GCAGAGGCTCAAACATAATGTACACTAAGGTGCTTCAAGCTGTGCAAAAAGTCTCTTCTGTCGCCAACGGCCAACACCAATCGATATCGCAAATATCGACACTATCGCAACGACCGTGCCATGTTGGACCGGTGTACCATCATGCTATCGTCGAAGTCAGTACTATGCGCGCACGTTTTATAGAGCCCCTGAATACATTTCAGAATGTCTTCACTAATATTAGTTGAATGAAGAATAAACATAAACGAAGAGCATTGTTAAGAAAATAGAATTACCAGAAGTGGTCGCACGTGTGTGATAGAAACTTTTTGCATCTTTACAAGATTTGATCTAGCGAAATGAGGGCTGAAGAAAACGTGCGCGGATAATTGGGCGAGGTCTCACTGCTTGGCGATGTGCGGGCGGCCCTCGCGCAGGATGGTGACGACGGAGTCGAGCGTCTCCTGGCCCGTGGGGACGATCTTCGGCGCGGGCAGCAGGAATCCGTAGCGCCCGGTGTCCCGCAGCTCGTACGTGAAGGTGATGGGTGTGTGGAAGGTCCCTCGGACCCAGTCCGCGCTGCCGCCGCTCGCCACGTCTGCCGGCAATAAGGATGCTCAATTCCCAAAAGAATGTCGGATCGTTGGTGGATTTATTAATGATTTCGGGCGTGTAAAATGTTAATATTGTTAGTACCGTACGTAATGTGCATAATTTGTAGCGGGAGGTAGCGGCGACCTTCCCTCTCTAGATAGGGAGATCCGGCGCCGACCTACCCGTCGGCTTGCGGTTTTTCCCCAAACAGGTATCTCCCACCAGCGCGGCACCACCCCAGCCGGGACAAGTTCTAGGCTCCCGATTGGTCTCCGGCATGTGTGGTAGTGTAGTGCATGTATGTATATGTGTGTGTGTGTGTGGTGAGGGTGGAGCGGTAAGAGGTGAGGATAGGACAAGGAATGGGAATGAAAGATAGTGCGCGGTCTTTGTTCCAATTGTTAGGTTACTGCTCTGGCATGAAAAACTTCCGATCAGCGCAGCTGGACAATAGAATTCTCCTCTAGACAGCAGCTGAATTCGACCATGCTAGTAGCTAGTGTCGATAATCCTCCTCCATCGGGACCTCCGATCCCTAGGACCTTCCGATTAAAGGTACTGCAGTGACATCACTTGATGCCCTGACACACCTAAACCGTTCGTTGGATGAGATATCCTTTAACATTCACGAGCCAATGCCACCACCAAACAACTGTAAAACACCAATGTGGGGTCCACGGTGGAACTCAGAATAAACTTCAAAAAGTGAAGGGAAAACACTAAAAATCTAAGAATTAAACCTTGTATTAGCAAAAATTATATTTATTTTCTGCAAGTTTCGGTTAAAATATATTTTATTTTTTAGGTGGCAAGGAGAATATTGAAACTTTTTTTATCACTTCTTTTTCTGAAGAACTTGTTCATGTAATTGCGACTGACTTCAGCATGAACTTGTTCATGTTTATGGATAGACCAAACAGTGAGACGAAAATATCACTTCTTAAGACCTAATAATAAAAGCCCTAAGCGATGAAATAGCAAGTCCTTAGCTATAAAGAGATAGAAGGGAAAAAAACTCCCCTCGGGTCCGTCATATCCCGCCTTCCTTTGATATGTGACTGTTATGGAGAGCTGATGTTTGAGGGGGGAGTAGATCAACTTTTCTGTCCAGAAGTAAATAAAGGATCCTCCATCTCAGCAATTGTTCTCACAATCGTTGTGAAATAGGATGAAAGCCACGATCGACAGGAAGGACAAACTGTTCTTTGATTATTTTCAGATTTTTAAAAACTGCTCTCTTAATTTGTACGTTTTAGACTCCAAAATTCACTCTTAAAATTATCTTATAGATATTTAAACACATAGATTCTAAGGAAAATTGTTTTCACGTGGTACAAAAAGGGGTCTTAAACGTCCCTTCAGATACTAACGGCACAAATAAATATCAAGATACACGATAGTATTTTGTTACACGGGAGTGAATATTGTTTTTTATCAAAAGCTGCTAGAAACTGTCGTTGCATCTGTATGCATAATTGTACTTAATATAGTTTACGAACTAGCGTATGGATTCCAGAACGCAGAAAAAACGTTCTCAGATTTGCAATTTCCCCATAGACATCGCACTGTTTTTTTACTGCTTTTGACGTTAAATAATTAAAAACAATGATAGAATTCGACCGTGCTGCAATTAAGATATGCTCGTTGCGGCAATAAGAGCTCCAAGATGAGAAGTATGAAGAGGAAGGAAAATACTTAGATTAGCTGTTAAAGAAGCCTGCCCATTAAGCTAAGGACTTAAATATGAGGTTACAGACTTGTACAAAATAGACATGGAGGAATTTTCAACAGTAGCTTTATGGCTGCGTCGAGCTCAGCCTCTGTCTGGAGAAGAATTCTGCGACTTTCATCGGTACTTTTTCGTGTTTTCTCTATCGGCTCCAGATGATTACAGGAGCTGTACCGTAACTAACGAAATATGGACCGCGCGCCATTTTCCCTTCTACCTTTCTTGTTCTACCCTCCCTTCTTATTCACACATATTTACACTACACTTCCATGCATGTCGGGAACTTATTACTTGCCTCGGTTCGGGCGGTGAATCGCTGGGAGAGATACGTCGAGGGGAATCGCCACAGCAATCGACTTAAAGATCGGCGCTGGATATTAACATCCAGTGGTTGAGGAATACTATCACCTCCAGGCATAAAAGCATTTACCAACGGGACTAAGACCATAGTAGTTGGCATGCATCGAAACGTCAATCAAAGGGTGACAAGAACATTTGTTTCTTTTTGTTATCATGAATCACTCATTTGAATTCTTGTGTCCCGAAAACTTTGTGTAGCTTACGTGTTGAACAGGCTTTACGGCAATGCTGCTGTCAATTGGTGTCCAAACATTAAAAGCAAACCTCTTAAGAAATAATACCTAAAATAATTAAACTGACAATCCTGATTACCCATCGTTGTATTATATAAATAAAATCAATATTTTTAAAATTTACTTTTTCTCGTTCGACAGGCTTTGTCCTTCGAGGAGGTTAATTTTACAGTACATAGGTTTTAGCTTTTTTAAAATGGCCATCCATAGGCAGTTGTTTTTGTTACTCCGAAGAACGTAAACGTTGGACGAAAGTAAATGAAGCTAGGTAGAAGACTTCGTCAGTCCCAGTTTTTAGATCAATTGAGAGTTTTGGGGGATTACGGCGGTATGAATCGGTCTTTGGGATACGTGGATTGAATACGTGGGTATGCAGCTTTGCGACCTACACTGAAGATTAAGGAGCATGGGGGAGAGTGAAGGTTTTGATTAAAATTTTGAGCTATTTATGTTATGTGGTCGATTAATGAGGGCAGCTTTAATTCTCTGCGATTGGGGATGTTTGGAATGAACCAGTTGTCATTTAAAGCTCTTTTTAAAAAATATATTTCGAATGGCTGTTAATTTTTGGAGATTGCTAGGGGAGGTACCTGCCCAATTTTAACATGTATAAATCATGGTTGGTAGAATTGATATAATACCAGTCGGAAATCAACATTCAATGAAGAACGTGCATTAATTAGAGAGAAGGGTTTTGATATTTTTGCAGATACTTTGTTGGTTATTGAATTAATATGAGATTTCGAAGTTAATATTTTGTCAAGCAACATTCCGTATTTAAGCAAATATTTTATCGGTGAGGAGCTCCACGGATATGTATGTATAATATATGTATTATATGTATATATGTATTATAAAGATTTTATTCGGCAGAACTTTTGGGGCAGCGTAACGTGAAAATCTTTGCTTGACATTATAACGGGTTAATTTTCATTTTTGTGTCTGTTTAACATACTCGTTTAGTGAGTTTTGAATATAGTCCGTGTCTATGGCAATGTCGCTGAGCAATTTACAATAAAAAATCTGTTAGTGAGAAAACTTTCGATAATCTTTTGTAAGTACTGCGGAACTCCTAGTTGACGCATTTTAGAAATAAAGCCCGTGTGCCAACATCTGTTGTACGCCTGACGTATCCAGGAAAACTGTTGCTATATGTTTCTTTTCGTGGGTACTTGCGCTATAGATTCAGTCAGTCGTAGCAGTTAGAGCGTTGTTGAGTGATTAGTTCTGAATATGAAAAATATAAAATTCAAAAACCTTCCTGCTCGAAGAAGTTTCTTCTGCAGTGCACTACCGTCACAAGACGCTCTTTGAGTTAGAACTATACCAATAATCTAGCGTATTCCTATCGCCTCAGCTAAACGAACCAACGGAGTAATTCGTTCTCATGACGTCACTAAATGAAGGCCTGAATGAATTTTTCCACCAAACGAAACCGTGTTTATTGCTGTAATCCTACGTAAACGATAATACACAAAGTTCATCCGTACTGGTAACTCGTCCTTGGTGCGGTCGGAAAACGACGCAGTTACCTTGAGGCGACTCCTAATTTAAAGCAAAGAAAAATTACTGCAACTGAAAATAAAAGTGATCTAACCTTACAGCTACATATTCGGGAGTTATCAAGCCGAACTGGCCAATTACTCTAGGCCGAACACCAGACGAAATTGACTCTACAGTAATTGACGTCAATGAAATTGCAGTTAATGAAATCATTCGTCCAAGAATAATTGTGAATTTATGGGTTCTAATTAAAGTTATTAAGTGTGATATACGTGCTCAAATATTAAGTGCTATGTGTTTTCATCGCTTAAGAAATAAAATTATAAAAAAGTACTTTAAAATGGACATAAGTTGGTATTCTGCGACAGGAATGTTATTGACCTTTTTGAAATGTAAAGAGTAAGCTTACCAAGTGTAGTTCAAAAAGAAAAGTTGTACTTACATATTGTGTCTACTATATTTCCAACGATGTATTTGGTGCCGTACTGATGTGACAGAGATTTCGCAGCTTTTAAACCGATTTCCATCTGAAATATTAATGGATTGAGTGTTTTACAGGGATTAATGAAAAAAATGTTTCAACTTTACAATTACAGTTGAAACTAGCTATTGTGACAGCTCGTCAGCTGAAGAGCAATAGATAAATTATATTCACGGATACCTGCAATAAATTCAATATTTTAATAATTAATCATTAAAAATTATGTAATAATTTAATATTTTTATTGAAATAATTTAATAAAATTTAATAAATGATCATGATTTAGTAAATAATTTTCTCGAATACAGCTCTTAAATAGTTTAGTTTTAAGACGGTACAACAGCTCTTTATATACGAAGGATATCAAAAAGTTCCATAACAACATATTTAACATATTTAATGACGAGCAACCTCTCCCTTGGAACCTTGCTGTCGCATGACAATCAGCTGCATCGTAAGGAGCGACGCACTGAGTGTGTTAATTCAGTTAGTATGCGCATTACGATAATGGGTAGAATCAATTGTATTTTTTAATGAAAATCGAAACAATTTCACATTTTTTGTTTTTTCTTAGAGTTCCTAGGAATCTAAGGACACAATAGCCACCTCTCACGTGCCTGGTGGCTGCATAATTTTCTTTCGATTTGTGCACACATTGGAAATTAGTAATATGCAGTTTTTTTGTATTTTTTCCGAGTTCTGTGTATTTAACGAAATCATACCACCTCACAAAAGGCCGCAGGCTGCATTGTTCTTTCAATTTCTGCGGGCATTGGGAATTAGTAATATAAATATCTATTCAAAATTAGAACCAAAAACGATAATCAGAAGTCCAGAAGTATCATCTCATTCTCAATACTATATATTTTAATGTACATTTTAGGTTAAAAAATGTTGCAACCAAATTTGTTGTGTTGCGTGGATTTTATGACAATCTCTCAATAACAACAACAATAATAATAATAATAATAATAATAATAATAATAATAATAATAATAATAATATCCTGTTTGTTTGCTGTATAATTCGATCAGTGCGAATCTGTTTTTCGTACATCATTGTATACAATCTAACAGCCGTAAGAAGTTTTGGTGAGTGTTCACACCACGTGAAGCATGTATTGGGACTGAGAGCGTTGCAGATCTACCAGTGGAGGAAGCTACAGACCCTATCGTCCATCTTAGATATTCGTATTTTCAAGAATTGGTATAAGATAAAAAGACATGATGAATTGTTTCTACCTTGTTTCTGTCAAATACGGCAGTTCCTGGGAAATTTTGAAAACCACGTTATCATAATGTGTTCTAAATACCTAAATACCAGGCACCTTTTATATCTTTCTGATTAGAGCCTTATTACTTTTCGTTTTGGGACGTATAAATGGCTTGTTTTTGGCTGTCTCTTGTCTATTCTTTTAGATTTTGTCCAGGGTGTGTCTTTCCATGATTTCTTTAAAAAGTTTGTCTCGAATTTCGCAACGTCAACTATTCATTGCGTACTTTCGTCACAATGTCTCTTACTGGGTTCTCAAACCTATATTTACATTTTTCGGTCAGCTTTAGTGTTCAGTCTCATTAATGGGTCTCCTCGATTACTGACATCTCTTTCTGCTTATTGGATTGTACCATGAGGCTTCGATTTCAATATAATAAATACTTACCAATGTGTCATGATTGGACACGTAGTTGTTTGGACCAGAAAAACCATATGGTATGAGCAGTAATTGACTGTAACTATGGAAAGCAAGATAAACATCGATCTTGTCAGCAATGCTAGTAATATACTGGGACATTGAGCGAGTTTCGATTTCTGAGAATGCTTCAGGTCCTGCATAATGGTTGGAGCAAGGATCACTGCTTGATCCGCCATCTGTGAAAATAGAACGAGAATGTACTATAGTGAAAATGGTTAATAAACCGCTAATAGATTACTGCTATTATAAATGTCATTAAAAGTTAGATGTGACCGTACAAGATGTCAACAAAAATTGTATCTCTTTTTCAAATGAACAAATCTCAGTTTACTCCTTTGCATATTTATGTAATAGTTATTTTTAAAAAAGTTGAAATTAGTGAACAGGAATTTTTTGATTGACAACATTAAATTCTTCAGTCGCTTCAAGTAACGTGTTGTGGGAATTAATTAAACACACACCTTTCCAGTGGAAACCCCAGTTGCGGTTTGGATCAACTCCGTGGCAAGTATCGCTGGTGGGAGACCGCGTCTTTCTCCACAGCCGGTTCTGCAGTGTGGACAAAATACAATGAGCATGCCTGTTCCGCCAATGCGCTTGAAATGTTTACGTTCTTTTAATACTAACTGTAGTGTGAGTGTACTCATAGCCATCAGGGTTGAAGACCGGGAAGATATACCAATCGAAGTTCTGGGCAATGTCGCGAATGCGGGGCTCGTCACTGGTCAACAGCTGGTTCAGAATGTATGTTACAGTCGCGGGAGAGACCCATTCCCGAGCGTGAATACCTGTTTACAGAAAAGAACACAATCATTAATCACTGCAGAAACCCGCCGTCCATTTTTTGTTTTTTTGTTTTTATGAATCACATTCCCATTCAGGCAATTCATAGTCACTAAACCTAGTCACTAAACATACCTTGTTACATTCATTGTTACTCAATGTTATAACACTAAAGGAACCCACACGAAAATATTGCACTTTTGAACTCGATGGCATATGTTTTCGCGGCCAGCAACATTTTACTTTACTGAGGAATTACCTCCTAGAACACATACTATAGGACATCCTATAACTTTTTAACGGTTAAAGTTATTGCAAAGCAGTTTTTACTGAAGTGCAAGAGAGAATGGGTCTAATTGATACGTGTAATCATTTCTATTTTATCACTTGTATTTTACGAGATAGTTGAGGTAACTTTGTTTTTTCAAATAAAACTATACATGTTCGTTCAGTCTAGCATTACGAGCGTAAAAAGACAAAATCAATGATATGCATGTTGTCGTATCTTAGCAAAACATTGTTTTACGTAATTTTGAATTTTCTGCGACAAGTGTTTAACGGATATTTTGAATGTAATAGTTCGCCACACGAGGTCACGCAGCGCTCCCCCTCTAGCGCGCGGTCAGGTAAGGGAAGGGATCGTATTATTTGAAGATACTAAACATATTTTAAATATTCACAGAACTGTTGCAGTGTGTTTAGTTTCAAGATCCCATGAATACCCTGTGGTATGACACCGTTTTAAATGAAGTTGAAATAACGAACAATCTTGTTTCATTACATACTACTTGTAACAAATCCGTATTTTCAATCCTCAAGCAATACAAAAAATATATATATCAAAATGCGGAAGAATGGAAAGTAGAGTTCAGGGAAAAAACTGCAACTGTTTTGTGAATATATGAAATACGTTTATATTCTGCTGTTATATGCGTCAATAATATCATATGCACCGACCTGGCGAAATTGCCTGAATTGAATGATCACTTGGTGAAATTGCTTTTGCAATAAATAAAATATGAATATGTCGAAAAAAATGGCAAATATATCTGTTGTCGATAAATTTTCTCTTTTTCGTTTTTTTCTCTATGAAGGCGAATATAAGATTGAATGCTAGAAAAAAATAGCGTCATATTGAAATTTGTTCTAACGAAGAAGGTAAATAGTACGAAAATTTCATAGAGATAGAAATCGTTGAATCTGAATACATCCAACTATCATTAAAACATTCAAATACTAACTGAAATGGTCGTGTTTGATATCATCAACAAAAATAATGGTTATTTTTATCCATTTCCACACTTTACATGTGTAGGATTATGAATGCACGATATTCCACATGCACTTAGTGGCGCAGAAAAATAAGCGAGTGAAATTTTATTTGCATTTAAACCACATGACCATATTTGCTACATAGCAACATTTTTTTGTAATATTTTCCACACTTTAGAGTGTGAACATAGCATCTTCCAAAAATGCTACTACAACCTTAATAATTCAATGTTTCTGTATTTTTCTTGAGTAGAATTTGATAACTAAAATACCCTGAACAATATACTGAAACTAAATTTGCAACACGTATTTTGCTTTTGAATGAAATTTTTAAAAAACTTGAAGATGAGTATCATTCCAGCTGAATATGAAATTTTGAGCGAGTTCTGGTTGTTTCTAATTAAAGCGCTTTTTCCCTCTTGAATACTCAACAGTTTGTGTAAATACTTCATTATTAGTAGCATTGTTTTCATTGAAGTAAAAATAAATTAATGAACCAAGATCCTGCTCTCTATTTCTCTATGATAATTATCTTCCTCGAGTATATAAAAATCAATTGTTAATGAGTTAGTAAGTACGACCCCCAACTTTTTGCCCTGTGAGTGAAGTATACATATTATTTTTTAATTGATTTATGTACCTTCAGCAACTCTCCTGCAAGCCACGATTCCAATAAAATGTATTACCATGGCCCATCAGATGAGATTTCATTTAATACTAATGAGATCAAGTTCATTCGAAGATGCATTTCCATCAATTGTTCAAAGCATAAATTTCTCCGGCTGAAAATTGTACCCCAAAACAATATTGAAAATCATATTTTTTGTCTTAGAAATTTAGTATGATTAAACACAAATATTTTTCAAGCAAACCTACATTGATTATGCAGTTCACGACAATTGCAATTCTATTCTACGACTATTACAAAATTTTCATTAATTTGTTCAGGCATTTTTATCTTGAAGTGGGTCTCGTATGTTCTCATGGTAGAAAAATAGTGACGTCTGTCACGTCGTCCCTGATCTCCCAATAACATATTTATATCAGTTATTACTTTTACTCATTTTTTAATACGTTTTCTCATAATGCATATGCCATTTCACCTGTCATCTGTTTTTTTCTATTTTGCATTTGCAATATTTTATATACTTAAAGCATATGGAATATATTAATTCTCTCCATTGTTCATGACGTTGCATGACAAGAGACATTGTATTCTTTTGGAGCAAATAAACTCAGGCTTGTTTTTATGTTTTTCTACGGGGCCCTTACCTCCCTCCAAAAACACGCCAGGATTTCCTGACTTGAAAGAAACTTTTACTCCTTTTATTTGGCGTCCCTCATAGGTTGACCCACCGACAATAACTGTGACAATATCGGGATATTGTTCTTCCAGGGCGTCTAACCAAGCGTAGATCTGAAAAAGATATAGGTTTCTTAGGTCAGAGCATACGAGAGACAGCGGAAGAAAAGTTTAAAAATTAACTCCGTATTTTGACCATGTGCGTCATAGATAATGGATCAAATTCGGAAACGTTTATTTAAGAATCTGCCAAACTCTACGTAGTTCATTATATAAAATAATGTATATGAAAACGGGAGAAAGGTTTTTGCTCAATGCATTTCAACAATCAAGTAAATTATACATTTGTATTACCTTCCAGCATATAATGTAGCGCAATACGAATTACGTACAAAAGTTATAATCGAAGGCATTTCCGTTCAGAAAGTGACATTAAAATGTTAGTCCAAGTGTTTGAAAGTAGTTTTGTTTGGTTAAGTACTTGGAATTCGGATTATTAACTGTTTAACACATAGGATCGATGAAAAATATTTTATCCAATTTACCTCATCAAGACGATGATAGTCCGACCAGCTGAAGTGACCGCTACGTCCTACGTTAGTCTGCTGATCCACCAACCTGCCGCATACGGTTTCATGTTTATTTACTATTATATTTTCAAGTAATTTTGCTTTAGTTTAAATATCGTCATTAAAAAGAATGAGTAATAACACTGGAAAGAAGTATTTTAATGGAACCTAGCTGTACATTTCTTGCTGTTTCAAATTTAAAGAAAGATGTTAAAAAATAATAGTATTCACTTCATTTTAAAAAACATGTATTTACTCCATTTGTATAAAGCAAAACTAAAAGAACGTACAATTGTGTGGATTATAAAAAGTTTTTTAAATAATTTACAAATAAACATTAGTTTATAATAATAGTAATTATCATTACAATAATAATTATTATTATTGTTATCTTGTCGTATATTAAATCACTAATGAGACATTGCACATTAACCTATAACATTAGCAAATAAAAATGGTTGCATCGTATATCAATTTTTGAATGTTTATCTTACCGTTGCACATCCTTAATATAGAGGTCGCCATTCATGTTGTTTCCTTTGATGGTGTCCTCGAAATCGGGCAGTAAATGCGGCGGCACCATGATGTCTACAGGCACCCCGACGCGCCCGGGGCCTTTCCAGAAGTCCAGCTGTGGGCACGAAATATCTCAATAGCAAACAGACCAATCCCATTAATACCTAAATTCATGATCACGTTTCTTGCAAACTCTCAATTATGATTAACTGAGATTGTGTTCTTTATACCAGAGCATTCAATCAATTCTTCCGTCCAAACATTGGACTTTATAATAGGGCTCGGTGAAAGAAGCCATTAACATTATTTAGTACATTAACTTCACGTTTAATTCATTTCCTGTTTCCACTAGTTACTTCAGATCTGAAGGGATTATTTCGAAGAAGAACTATTCTTAAGATTTTTTCTAATTGATGTATTAAATAGTTTTGGCAAATTAATGGGCTGAAGGTTATATAAAGAATACATTTTAATAAATTAAAACTTATATTGCAATTATACTAAAAATGCCATTGTAAAAAAATATTTCTACGAGGCAACGAAGACGTGTGCGATCGTCTCTCCACAATCCTTGAATTTACTAATAAAGTGTTATATACGTTCTCGCAGTGTTACTTAAATCAAGTAAAACGTATGAGAGAGAATAATTTGATTGATTCCATTCATTTATTTGTTTTTTTTTATGTCTTGCATATCATTATTAAAACTCACTTTAGTTTCGAAGGCAGAAATGTTTTGACATACTGTACATTGACATGTGCGTGTCCTTATCAGAGTGGCCATGTGTTCTAGGGGTGCCAATCACTGAAACACTGCCAAAGATAATGAATGCAATAGCCTTTTTTGTGAAGTATACGCGGGAGAAGAGAAAATGCTTTTCATATATCCCGATATTCACGACGTTAGCATCGTCTAATTCATTAATAGTGTAATTAAACGTGATATTCATTGATACATTCAATGCATGATTTACTATTTTTTTCTTTTTTTACTTATTTAGTTATCATCGCAAATACTAAAAACTCTATGGGAGTTGCATTCTTCAGGTGTCAGTGTCAGAATCTGTTGATAAAATACACCCGAGTCATTGACCTATTTCCTAGAGTCCATTTGCCGAATTTAAAAACGTGAAATCATTTAGATAGCAATTCAGCTATTATCTTCTGCAAAACATTTTGTTACGCCCTAGAAAACGAAAAATGTTATTACTCCAATGAAAATTGTTGAAACTGTAAACGCAATGATAATTGGTTTTCGAATATTGATGTTTATTTTCATTTTAATCCCATCTTTAATATCAAAATTGTTACTGAGTTGAAATTAATTTGTAAGAAGTAATGTAAACAACTTTTGGGGCAATCATTTCCATTTCACAGGGGTTTCGTGAACTTGGCTTACAGAACTACATACTGATTTCTACCTTTTGCTCTTAAATATTTAATATATTTTTATCCATACACTTTTTTACTGTTTTGGCATGTATATATAAAATAAGGGAATGTAACTCAACACTTGTAATATTTGTATCTTGCAATTAATAGGCCAAGAATGTTAAATCACATTTTAAGACAACAAGGCACACTGAAAATAAATGAGGGATCTACTAGTACTAGTCAGTTAGAACTCATCGGTTCCATTATTTATAAGTGCACTTAAACGGATTGCAATTTACCCCCAGGTAATGCAAATTTGGTATTATGCATAGTATTTCACAAAATATAATTTCTTTTCAACTATGTAAAATTTGAATAAATTAATATTTTATGAATTTGTTCTAGCTCAATTGGTTATGTATTATATTTCGCAATATTTTAAACCTAATTTTTATAATCCACGAACAGTTAGCAAAATGTCTCGAAATGTTTCGTGTTAGTTTTCGCGCATTTTGCCATGATCAGTAGGGGCTTAGTATACTTTGCATATAGGTAATGTGCGAGAATGTTCTCACTGCGAACATTTTGCCTACATAACGTACAATCTCAAAATTATTTTAGACATCTAAATCGAAAATTTAAAACACACAAATTCATTGTGGAGGGTAATTTTAAATGTTATTAAAAAATAGACAAAAGTCTAAACAGACTTTGTCCTTCAAATCTCAAAGCTTTTGATTTTTTGCATTTCCTGTGTCATGCTTAATGATCCTACTTCATTATTCAATATTGCCCCAATATAGTGCCATGTTGTTCAATATTTCTGTTTTTTACCCTAAGCCAGTTTTGACTAGAAATAATGTCCAAGGAAGAAAATACATACCTCATCAAGAGACTTTTGTAAATGCTTCAGCACTGTGAGCTGATCTTCGTTGTGGGGTACCACACGGTACACACGGTAGCTGTCGAACCGTGCCCTGTCGTCCAGTGCATCGCCTAGCGCTGCCGCCCGCGCAAGGGCAGTCATTGCTGTCACCAGCATCGCTATTGAAACGATAGTAGCCATTCTGAAAACGAAACATCATATATGTCATGTTTCAAATAAACGGTTGAATATCAATTTGGTGTGAAAGTGAAGGAACACTAATCTTGTTTTCTAATGTTGGTGTGCGTGTAGTAAAAGAGGTAGTGATTATTAAAATATATTTTTCGACCCTCTGAAAATAAACAGGAAATTCAAAAAAATTCTCGATGTCATTATTGCATTCTTGTAGGGATAGAATTTCGCGTTTTATACTAGAGACTGAAATGTCATTTTGAAATTATTCAAAATTTGAAATTTCATTATTTATTTCAGGTTGTTTTTCATGCCTATTTTCATAGATAATAATATATTCCTTCAATATAATAATGATAATAATAATAATAATAATAATAATAATAATAATAATAATAATAATAATAATAATAATAAATATATTCCTTCCATGCATCCATTTTTCTTGAGTTTGCGCATTAAATGATACCAAACAATTTCACTACATAACGTAGACCTACTACGTAGACCTACAAAAATATTTCTACTTGAAATTTTGTGTTAGCTTTCTGACTAAAATGTAATAATGGACATTGTTAATGCAATAATATAATCCTTCTCATTTCTTTTCTTTTCACTGTTTCCTTTCTTCTGATTTCATTTTTCAAATAATAGCCGATCAAATATGTGAGGTTAACAATTAATTTTTTGCAAATCATTCCTTTTACGCCCAATTAGTGAGCAACTATTCTCAAGTAATTGTATCTCGTATAACCTTTGAAAGAAATTCTCTCGGTTTAACAGAAGGAGAATAATGCAAAATCTAGCAGATCACGAACTTGCTGTTTTTCAGCTGGATCCGGCATTCACTCATCCACACCTCCGTGTACCGCTCACCTGGATAGCCAAAGAGGAACTGTCGCCTGTGGCACATGCGAGCGATTTATATTGCTTGCATCGACCACTACCGCCAACACCATTCAAAATCGCGCTCTCATTGATAAGCACCTGAGTACCGAAGGAAATCACCACCCTTTTTTTTATCAATGCGTCCCAACTATTTCATTTGCTAACGAGCTGTCGCAAACGGAGACTGCACATGTTGGCACAGTTTCTGCTTTACAGAATTGAAAATAGTACCTATTTTTCTAATCGAGGCGGCCTTGATTACCTTTCACACGAACCTCCTGAAGGACATGCGGGCGTGCAAATGGACGCGTGGCTGGCGCGAGGGCAAGTACAAGTAACGCAACGGAACATGTAACGCAACGGTTGATTCCTTCACGAAAGGCTCGATGGGGAATAATAGCCACAATCTGTTGCTGATTTGCCTTTGCAAATACTTTTTATTTCACGGAGCGAATATTTTCTTATCAATTCTAGCCCAAAACGCTCGTTTACAACTGTTTTCATAATTCAACTAGTTAGGGTGTGGACCCCAGAAAACGTGAACAGAATACTTTCCCCTATAATACAATACATTTCACATGCAATTTTTAATTATTTTTGGCGTTAAATAAATAATTAACAAAGAATGAAATAATTAATAATTAAATAAGTTATTAATAAATAGTATTGAATTTTGTACGCATCTGGGGCGAGCGCGATAATGAGCGTTGTTTGCTGCATGTGGGGCACCTCGCTCGAGTAACATTGACACGAATGATCCTGGAAAAGGCACTTTGCACACGCTGATTTATCACCTCATTTCAGGAAAATATAATGCGTACCAGCTGTGGGATTGTACAGATGTGTACACACGACCGTGACATACTGACTCCCTTAATTCACTCTTCATTGTTTATCCTTAGCTTCAGAAGTGCGATTTACCGTAGAGAAAATTAATCAAGATTTGTTGCCGACCAGTTAAAAAAAGACTAATTTTTAAGAAGGAAGAAAGAAAAGAAGAATTCACATAAATTTCCAACAATAACTCCCTGATATTTATATTTTGACTTTCATAATTATCCGAAACGCTTTCTGCTGTGTGGCAGCACAGAATATTGATATTAATAACTTTTAGTGGAAGTACTAACGAATAAATGGCATAAAAGTATCTCTAATAGGGTATACTGGCTACAAAAACAGACAACATAAATTCTAGGATTCGCAACGCGATAGTTAAGAATTTCCATTTCCGATAGTATTTCCAGCGTGCGTTTTAAAATTCTGTGAAAAATGCATAATAACCCGAATATTCTAGAAACTGTAAAATAATGGCGAAAATAACGTGGAAATAATGGTTAAAATTTGCTTAATAATGAATACCTGTATAAAAACAAGAAACATTTTTTAAAAATATTAAACCGACTTCACTACACACAATAGTAGCTATTTAACAGTAAAAAATAATTTTAACATGATTTTTCGTTGATAAATTGAAATATAGCGAATAGAACTAAACGAAATGTATGTTCGAAATTACTGCTTTCGCAATAAATTTATTTTTTTATATTTGATCATTAATAATTTGTTTAATTTTGATTCTTAGCTTTCAGTGATTTCGATGCTAAAAATAAATATATTGTTCCATCCTTGCAAATATATATTTCCCCGTAGAAGAAAAAGGTTATTAAGTTATTTTTGAAAATTCCAAGGTTTAAAATGTATATGTATATGTA